CCTCACCTGACCCATAGCCTGCTCCACCTACCTCCTAGCTCTGACCTCCTGCTCCCCTGTCTGAGCCACTCATGGGCACGTTCTCTGGAGAGCCACCTAAGACAGTGTCATTTTGCAGATATGTCCGTCTGAACTTCTTCCTGGAGAAGATCTTGAGCCTCGGTTTCCCCATGTGTAAAATGATGGGGTTAGACCAGATGATTTCTAAGCACAGCAATTCAATGCGTGACTGAGCCCATATCATGCCTATGATGTGGGTAGCTCCAAGAAGGGGAGAAAGGCATGTTTGCTGAATGACTCATCGCTATTTGTATGATTTTCTCTTCTGGCTTCTTGCTTTTTCTTCCTTACTCCGACTTCAATTGATTCTGTTGAACTGAAGGAGGGGTGCTAGCCCTCACTTCTTAGAGGCAGCTCTGAATCACCAGAGGTCATGCCCATGGAGCCTGCGGGAAGCTCGAAGCCTGAGCAGGAGGTGCAGCCATGCGCAGCTGGAACGCTACGCACCGTGCCCCCTCCGGGAACTGGAGCCACGGGAGGCTGGATAACGAGAGCGCCTCTAGTTTCAAGGGGAAACAGTGTGGACAGCTGATAGCACACTTGGCCTCACAGAGACAAACTGAGGTACAGGTGAGAGGTTGACAGGGAAGCCCCTGCTTCTGGTTCTGCAGTAAATTAAACCTCACACTGGCTCCAGCAGCAGCAGGGATGGTGCCTCGGGGTGTTTGAATGGTAAAGGGTGGCGCTTAGTTAAGTTCTAATACATTAGCCGCAGAAGACACGCTGATCTATAGAAACAGAGGAGGGCAATGCTTGTGGGAGCTTCCTGCAGAAGAAAGGCTGAGGTTCAGATAAGACACGGAAGGGAAAGGAGGAAGGGCCAGGTGGGACGGGAGCTGACCTAATAGGTCTTGTCCATCCCTGTTGCTTTAGATCTGGGGGTGTGTAGAAGGAGTTGGAAAGTGAAACAACTTCAAGAGCCTGGGGCGATAATGGTGAAAGGGCAGAGCGGGGGGATGTCAGAGGCAGGCTGGAGAAAGCTTTACAAGTGATCCTCACTTTACATAAACCCATTATATGAAAATCCGTCTAACTGAACCCAAGAAACAGGGGGTGATTTTCTCCTCACATCTTTCCAGTTTCCAGGCTGGCTATTAATTAATGCCCCGTGTGACTCTTTTCATCTCAGAGCCCCGCTTTCAACCATCAGACGAGGGCACTGACCTCTGGATTCCAGCGTCGTTAGCTTCTTTACACTTCATAATCTTTGATTCTTGAAATAACCGTTGCTTCCCTCAACCGATTCTCCCACCCTGAATAGGATTCATTAAGTGTGATGTGGACAGAGCTTTCTGAAATCCCCGTTACTCAAAGTAAGGCACAACAGTGCCCTGCTGGAGTGCCACAGCCCCAACTTCAATCAGAGCCTCTGCTTTCCACAATCAAAGACATTATCACTAGGGTCTCCTTCATCCCCCAAAGCAGATTCCCTGGCCACAGGGTGACAGGTGTAAGGGTTGGGGCAGTTGTCCAGAGCCCCAGAGCTACTCGAATTCTTTTTAAATTAATGATGTGAATTAGCCCTGGGTCACTAGCCCAGGGCAAAGCACGGCCTTTGGCATTGGGCAGCAGCTGGCCTGAGGTGGCTCACCACAACTTTCAAAGGCTCAGGGCTATCAGATGCATCAAGCCCAGAAAACTGGAAAGAGAAGGGGGCTATCCAATTACGATGGATGCTGACATTAGGCAGGCCACCTGAGAACAGCCCTGCAGACAGTGCTACCACATAAGTAGGGCTGAACTTTGACACAGAAGAGAGAGGGGGAGGCTGGTAATAAGTTGGGAGGAAGCCTGTTCAAATGTGGGGTGAGAGAATAAAGCCAGCAACAAAAGCTGCAGCTGCCACTTCCTGAAGGCCTGTATGTGCATGGTGCCAAGCATTTCACCTACATTGTCGCAGGGAGTGTTCCCAGTGACCCCATGAGGCCATATTACCATTGCTCCCATTTTATGAACAGGGAAAGAGACAGGCACAAAATGGTTAAACAGCCTGTCCATGTCACACAGCTAATAAATGGTAGACCCAGGATTTAACGGTAGATGCTGGTCAGACTGGTTCTAAAACCCATGCTCTGAATGTTTATACAACATAGCCTCTCAAAAGTAGGGATCATGGAGCCCATCTCTACTAAAAGTACAAAATTAGCTGGGTGTGGTGGCTCGTGCCTGTAATCCCAGCTACTCAGGAGGCTGAGGCAAGAGAATCACTTGAATCCAGGAGGCGGAGGTTGAAGTGAGCCAAGATTGCACCACTGCACTCCAGACTGGCGACAGTGTGACTCCATCTCAAAAACAAACAAACAAACAAAAGATGCCCAAAGTTCTATAACGTGGAATAAAGATATCAGTTTCCTTTATTCCTGATTCATTTGGTTCAATATTTTAGATGTATTGACTTTACTAAGTCAGGCTGCATGGGTCACTGGAAGAGGAAATTTACATCTGCTCATCATGCCATCCATGATGAGCAAATCTCGGCTCTCTCAGTTCTGCCAGAGAAGTCCTGAAGAACTGAACAAGAGAGGGGCTGGCTTTTCAAAGTATGGACTACTGAGCTATTCAGAAATCTGGACCTTTGTCTGAGAGTTGCACCCCTGGACAAAGAAACACTGTTGACTGGACTAGGGGGTTCGCAAGGAGTTGTTGCTGGCATTTCTGATTTCATTTGCAAGATCCTGGGAAATCTGAATCTTTCTTCCATTATACAGAAATTAACATCTATGACAACTACAATTCTTATCTGTTCCCCGTTGAATCCTCATGGCCTAGAATAAAATATAATAGGCACTCACTAAATACTTATTGACTGAATGAATAAATGAGCAACTATTTTGGCCCTTGTTCCTCCATGTCTTCTTCTGGAGGAATCTGTGCCTATAGATGCTGTTGGCCTCAATGGCCCTGTTCTATACAGTGTGGCCCTCCCTCAGTCATAGGACCAGGAGGGACCAGGAGTAGATATACTCTCCAAGGGTTGTAATTAGGCAGCTTGGCCAACACCTGCAACTTTTGAACCTAGCCACGCTGCAAGTGGAGCTGGTCCAGTCAGAGGCAGACCCTGGGGATGCAAACTGAGAGGCACTGTGGGAAGCTGTCACTGATGTGCACCCTAAAGAGAGACTGGAAGCCACCTGAGGGCAGGAGCTCATGTATCTTGTTTCCTGCTTTGTTTCTAATGCCTGATATCCTGAATCATGCTTGGGATACAGTCAATGCTCAATAAAAGTCTCTGAATGAATAAACAGAGAGTCAGTCAGGCCTGGGTAGTTATTATGGACGAGTACATGATGAATAAACCAGGGAGCCCAAACTAGGAGAGAGGGAAGAGCCCAGATCCAACACCACAGGAGCATGAAGGAAGCTCTGAGAGGGAGAAAGGTTGGCGAGTCTCCAGAACCACTGCCTGCATCGCGTCTTACCTTTTCTGGATCTCACAATACCCCATGTGTTATGCTTGGGCCCATGTGTATGTATTTATTTTCTTAACCCTAACACCCCAGGCCAGAGCTTTGCTGGATCCTCAGATGGAGGACCAGATGTGCTGGGGAAAGTTGTTCTTTTGTTTTGTTTACTTATTTTTGTCACTGAGTGTGGCCAAAGGTTGAAATGGGTTAGAAAGGGAGGACATGGGGACTCTTCAAAGTCTTAGGGAACAGATGCTATTATCTCTGATTTGAGGGGCTCTTCTCCTGCCCTCTGAACTGGAGCTGTTCCATTTCTAGCTTAGCCACAAGCTGTCAGCCCACTAACTTGGGGCTCGTCTTGTAAAGTTGTCAAGGTGATATGAACGACACGCCGGAGGACTGCAGGGAGGTGTCGTGACTGTGCGCTGGGCATGCAGGCTCCAGGACCAGCTCAGCCATTGACTAGCTCTGTGGTCTGGCAAATGATTCAGTGGCTTTGAGCCTCAGTTTTTTTTCTAAAGTGGAGGTGATAACACTTAACTCTTAGGTGAGAATTAAAAGCAGCACCCAGCACATAGTAGGGTCTCCATATGTATGCCTTGAGTGACCTACTACGTATGCCTGTAAAGCACTGCAATTCACAGATTTTCCCATATTTAAAATAATTTGAATCTCACAATAGGCTGGGTGTGGTGGCTCGCACCTGTAATCCCAGCACTTTGGGAGGCTGAAGTGGCTGGATCACTTGTGGTCAAGACCAATCTGGCCAACATGGAGAAACCTTGTCTCTACTAAAAATACAAAAATTATCTGGGCGTGGTGGTGTGCCCCTGTAGTCCCAGATACTGGGGAGGTTGAGGCACAAGAATCACTTCAATGCAGGAGGCAGAGGTTGCAATGAGCTGAGATCCTGCCACTGCACTCCAGCCTGGGCAACAGAGACAGACTCTGTTTAAAAAATAATAATAAATATAACCTCACAACAACCTGCAAGATTTGCAAAATAGAGCCTAGTATTCCTATTTTAAAGATGAGGAAACTGAGGTTTGGCCAGGATAAGTGACTTATCTGAGACTACCCAGAGAGTGAGTGGCCAAATTCCATCCTAAGTCCCAGTTTCTCCCACAGCACTGCCCTTAGCAGCACAAGGAAGCAAGGCAAGCAGTCAGACATGTAATGGCTATGAAACCCTCGAGCTGGCCACCTCTCTTGTCACACATGAGGTTTCATTCAGGGATTTGTGGACAAAATGTCCAGAAGATGAATGAATCAGTATATGGAGCAATGAACAAGTGGATGAATGAATGAATGGGTATCCTGTCTTCATTCTACTCCACACGTGATTCGCAACAAAACCTAGGAATCACATCCAGGCTGAGAGCCTCACAGGACCTCCTGGTTCACGTTTCTCTCCTTTCCCTGGAAATATCAGTATCAGATATCTCAGAGGCCTGGTGATTGATGGGTGCAGCTCACACCACTGCTCATCCAGCCCCTGCCAGCAAGGGAAGATGCAGCCCTGCCCAGTCTACGTACTGGTTTCTGCAGTCTCGTACTCGCTGTCTCTGAGAAGCTCAAAGATGTCCACTTCGACCTTGGCCCTGCCCAGCCTCTCAGGAGCGCGGTTGATGCGATTCTTGGCCAGGGTGATGGAGAGCCGCTCCCCTCTGCTGCACTCCATGGGGTCGTCCAAGATAGCAGCTGTGGGCAGGCAACCACAAGGAGACAATTGGTACTCCACCACTACTATTACCCTCCTCCTTCTCCAGCCTCCCCCTGCTGCCACCTTCCTCTTCCAGGCAGCTCCCCAAGCCCCTCTCCATCCTGCCACGCTCAGAACCGTCCCCCAGACCAAGTCCTCTCCAAGCTTAAGGGTCTTGGTTTACAGCCAGGTGTAGCAGTGAATTCTAACGTGGATGCACACCTCAGGAACCCTGTAATACCAGGGCAGGCCGCTAGGGGTCCTGTCTGCACGAGGTCCCAGATCCAGGCATCCTGATACTTAGATACCTCCCTGTCCCCACGCACACAGGCAGGTAGGCATTGCACAAAGTGAGGCGGGTCGTGGCAATCCTTTCAAATAGTATTCTGGGCACATGAGGAACTCTCCCTGAGGTGATAGAGGGTTAAAGAATGCCAGGTCTATGAGGGAGGGCTGTGGTCTCAAGGAGTAGCTGCCCCACACTGCTGAACGAGGCTCCCCAGGCTCTGACACCGATGGGCCATGGCACCAAAGTGAGCTACTTCGTTTCTCGGAACCCTTTTTCCTCACCGAACATCAGAAATGGTAGCTCACAGGGTTGGTGTGAGGATTCAGTAAGATAATGTATGGAAGTGGCACAGCACACAGACTTAATCAGTGTGACTTATTCAGTGTGGATGACTGCAGTGGTGTAATACCAACAGTTGCCCAACTTCTGGGAGCAGTGTTAAGGATAAGTGTTATGGTATCACAGACAGCTGGCTTCCAACCCCAGCTCCAGCCCTCCCTAGCTCTGGAACCTCAGTTGCCTCGAGTATAAGGAAGTAGGGAGAGCCTTGGGCTATTGTGAAGATTACAGGATATGGCATGGGTTCGACACAGTTATCTTGCACACAGTAGGCAGCCAATACATCTAGCTACAGAGCTTCTTCGTTCTCTTGATGGAGATGTTACAAAAATGAAAAACTTGTCCACACAAAAACTGTACACAAAAATACATAGCAGCATTATTCATAATTGTCAAAAAGAAACACAAATGTCCATCAATTGATGGATAAATAAAATGCGGTTTAGCCATACCATGAAATATTATTCAACAATAAAAAATAAAAGGTACTGATACACACTACAATACGAAAAACATTATGCTAAGTGTGGCTGGACATAGTGGCTTATGTCTGTAATCCAAGCACTTTGGAACGGTGAGGCAGGCTGATCGCTTGAGGTCAGGAGTTCGAGACCAGCCTGGTCAATATGGTGAAACCATGTCTCTACTAAAAATACAAAAATTAGCCAAGTGTGGTGGCATGGCGCCTATAATCCCAGCTACTTGGGAGGCTGAGGTACGAGAATCACTTGAACCTAGGAAGCGGAGGTTGCAGTGAGTTGACATAGCGCCATTGCACTCCAGCGTGGGTGACAGAGCGAGACTCCATCTCAAAAAACAAAGAAACAAATGAACCATTATGCTAAGTTTAAAAAGCTAGACATATACACAAAACACATATTGAACAGTTCTATGCATATGAAATGTCCGGAATAGCTGAATCCACAGAGGCAGAAAGACTTGTGGTTGCTTGGGGTTAGAAGAAATGGGGAGTGTCCGCTAACACGTGCGGTGTTCTTTTTGGAGGTGATGGAATGTTTCTAAAATTGTGATAATGGTTGCACTATTCTGTGAATATATGAAAAACCACTGAATTATACACGTTAAGTAAGTTATGTGGTATTTGAGTTATATCTCAATAAAGCCATTATATTAATAGAAATAAAAGAAATATCAACCTTATCTTTCAGAGCTTGAGAACCCAGAAAAGCAGCACGGGGAATCAAGCCACATAAATTTCCTGACACGTGGCCCTTGAATGTCTGCGCGGGCACAGAGACTCAGGTTCTATGGTGTGTTTTCTGGGGATTGCTCCATACTCACTGTAATCCATCCCACAAACAAAAAATCAGAACACAGAATATTGCAAAGCCTTTTTTCCTTGATTTGTGAATTTATTTACATGCATCACTTCATTGAATAATTGAAGTTAAATGTCATTTACTCAGTGTGACTGTCTGGGTTTCTCAGTAACCCTCTTGTTCTGGTCTTGCTTCCCTGAAGTGGGGGTGTGGGGCTGATTTAAGTGTTCCCAGGCTCTTCAGTCACATATATGGTGCTCTGACCACTTCTACAGATGGCTAATCACCCCAGGTATGTGTGGACTTTGCTAGCTGATCCCCAGAAGCCAACAGGCTTGCCCCTGGACCTCTGAAAACTCACCCAGATAATATCCTCTCCTTCCTTCTCCCTGTCCTTCCTACACCCCAGTGAGATGGTTTTTAGACTGTGGAGGCAGCTATCCTTCCCTTTGGGCCAAAGGAGCTCACTGTTACCAATGTGTCTATCTACAACCTTCTATTTAACAATCACTTGTAATAAGATAAATAAAGTAGTAAAATAATCTCTCAGAAAACGTGCGCACCCCCTGTGGGTCTGGAACCCGGAATGTTTTGATGTAGTTGTTCATGTTTCAGCATCATGCTGGGCCTGGCTCTGGCTCATCAGTGGACAAAGGCTGCAATTACACCTGCAGCACAGGAGGCAGTACACACCAGAGGGTCTGCTCTGGAGCCTAGCAGTGCCATCTATTCCCATCTTGTTTTGGCAAAGTCAGCATTCAAGAGTGTGCCATAGACTTCAGCGGGTCCCCCCAAATTCATATATTGAAGCCCCCACCCCAATGCAACTGCCTTTAAAAATAGGGTCTTCAGCCATCCTGGCCAACATGGTGAAACCCTGTCTCTACTAAAAATACAAAAAAAATAGCTGAGCGTGGTGGTGCGCACCTGTAGTCCCAGCTACTTGGGAGGCTGAGGCAGGATAATTGCTTGAACCCAGGAGGCAGAGGCTGCAGTGAGCCGAGGTCACACCACTGCACTCCAGCCTGGTGACGGAGTGAGACTCTGTCTCAAAAAAAAAAAAAAAAAAAAAAAAATAGGTCTTTAGGACATACCTAAGGTTAAATAAGGTCATTAGGATGGGGCCTTGATCTGATAGGATCAGTGTCCTTATAAAAAGAGACACTGGTGACTCACACCTGTAATCCCAGAACTTTGGGAGGCCAAGGCAGCTGGATCACTTGATGTCAGGAGTTCAAAACCAGCCTGGCCAACATGATGAAACTCTGCCTCTACTAAAGATACAAAAAAATTACCCAGGCATGCTGTGTGCCTGTAATCCCAGCTACTAGGGAGGCTGAGGCACGAGAACCACGTGACCTAGGAGGTGGAGGTTGCAGTGAGCCAGCAGGATCATGCCACCCCACCCCAGCCTGGGCAACAGAGTCAAACTCTGTCTCAAAAAAAAAGCTGGGCACAGTGGCTCACACCTGTAATCTCAGCACTTTCGGAGTCCAAGGCAGGCAGATCACCTAAAGTCGGGAGTTCAAGACCAGCCTGGCTAACATGGTGAAACCCACCTCTACTAAAAATACAAAAATTAGTCAGGCGTGATGGTGGGTGCCTGTAATACCAACTATTCGGGAGACTGAGGCAGAAGAATCACTTGAACCCAGGAGGCAGAAGTTGCAGTGAGCCGAGATGGCACCATTGCACTCCAGCCTGGGCGACAACAGAGCAAGACCCCATCGCCAAAAATAGAAAAGAGAGAGGCACCAGAGCTCACTCTCTTTTTCTCTCCACCACATGAGGACAGAACAAGAAGATGGCTGTCTGCAAACCAGGGAGACGGTCCTCACCAGGAACCAACTGCCTGGCACCATGATCTTGAACTTCCAGCCTCCAGAACACAGAGAAACATTTCTGCCATGTAAGCCACCCAGTCTGTGGTATTTTGTTACGGCAGCCCGGACGCCAGTCTGCCATGTAACACCATACAGTGGGCTCACAGAGCATCACTGCACACACCTTGAGACGGAGGGATAACGAGCAAGTGGGAAATAGAGAACATGGGAATCTTATATTAACGGGAGTATCACCCTATTCCTCTTTCCCTGCCCACAGCATCTAATGCAGAATTCTATGCTTAAAGCTATCAGGCTGGTCATCGCCAACTCACTAAGATCTAAAATCTCATCCTCTCTACCTCCCAACCCCTGTGCCATTCAGGGACCCACTTTTCATTAGGTTTTCAACAGTGATTCATGTCTGGCTGGAAACAGCCCCAACCAGTGGTTGGCTGGCATGAAACATATGAGGATCAGAATAATTAGGATGACAACAGGTAGCCGCACTTTAGAGCTGTAGACATCAATGACAAGGTGAAGGCTCAGGCTCTCTTGAGACACCAGAGAAACATGTCCTCAACAGGCAGTTACCAAACAGTGCGCTTCCTCAGTAGTCCCAGGAGGGAGGACCAGATGGATGAAGGAGAGCAGCTTGCTCAAGACTTAATATGCAGCGAATGCTCACGGCTTGCGCTGTGTTCCCCAGGCCTGGCTGCCTGGCTGGGCTAGGACGCTCTGAGTCCCAGCTGCTGCCTAATGAGGAAAAATATGATCCGGCACATCCTCCAGCCCCAGGGACTGCCCTGCAGAGAAGCCCTGAGCCACAGTGAGGCTGGGAGGTCTGAGGCTGCAGTAAGGGCAGGACTGAGATAGGGAAAAGCTTTCAGAGACCTGGGGCTTCCCCCTCTTTCCATCCATGGGGCCTCAGTGCACAATGACTCTTCCAGCCCAGGTGGACTCAAGATGCCTCCAGCATGCCCAGGAAGCCGGGATCCCTTGCACTACCATTGAGCCTTTCTCCCCATGAGCCCCAAGCACTTCACCCTCTGCCCAGTCCTGAGCTCTAAGGCTAATGCCAAGGAAAGGGGAGCCCCTTCATTGTGACCTTCTCACCCCTGCAAGCTCCTCTCCATGTTCTCGTCCCATGCTTGTGTCAACGCTGGAGGGGACTCCTCCCCCTGCAGCTCCTTCCAGCTCACCCCTAGTGGGATACAGCCACTGGCCTGCTCAAGGTTCTCAGGACATCCCCACTCTCAGAAGAGCTA